ATGTGAGTATGTTAGGAATTGATTGTATTAGATATAAACTTTGCACATCTGTGTAAGTTCCCTTGATTCCTGTATGAATACCTCACCTGCCTCCTGGATTGCATCACTCCCACTGACCAACTTGTCCCCTTTAGAGGAGTGCCTGCCTTTCAGCACAAGGAAAAAACAATGTGTGTATGTTCTCCACCACTATCATTGCCAAAACTCCTTATGTATCAGGAATTGCAGTTGAAGCCACAGACCTCACCGGGCTCTATACAGACAGACATGCACCAAGCCAAACTATTTTGAGTTTAGCACAATTTATAGATTGGGATGAAATACAGATATAGGGCACAGGATCTGAATTCTTCAATAGCTGCTGAGGGGCCAGATGAATTTATCTGAAGTTGAGGGAGACAGAAACATTTGAGTGAAATTTTAATGAAAAACAGAAGACAGAACTGGACAGAAAAATTCCCTTTCTAGTTTCCCTTCTGTGTATTACTCTGAAGTGTAGTTTCCCCATATTTGTTTGAAATTTCATGACTTTCTCACTCCTAAGTCGTTCATATGCTATATTTTTTTAAGAATGTAATCACAAAGTAAGTTCCATCCTTACTAGATGAGGGGAAATCAAGATCATTGATAACCACTGAAACCATGGAACAAACTCATTGAATAACTCAAAGATCTCTGGTTAATTCCAGATCTGGTTCTTAACCTGTCACTTCACTTATTTTTATGAGTCTAGTCTTCTCTCCCTTAAAATGACTGATAATGGTCCTGCCTATCTATAGGAGATTTTTTTTAATTTTGTGGGATAAATAATTGTGGTTTACCATCATAATAGAGAAACTCCATCACATATGTAGCTTTAAAAGCCAGGCACATTCTCTCTCTCTCTCTCTCTCTCTCTCTCTCTCTCTCTCTCTATATATATATATATATATATATATATATATATATATATATATATATATACATATACATATATACCCTGCAAATGAAGGAGGAGGATGTCCTCAAATTCCTTGCAGCAGGAACCCACTTAGGTGGCACCAACCTTGACTTCCAGATGGAACAGTACATCTACAAAAGGAAAAGTGATGGCATCTATATCATAAATTTGAAGAGAACCTGGGAGAAGCTCCTGCTGGCAGCTCGTGCCATTGTAGCCACTGAAAATCCAGCTGAGGTCAGTGTCATATCGTCCAGCAACCCTGGCCAGCGAGCTGTGCTGAAGTTTGCTGCTGCCACTGGAGTCACTCCTATTGCTGGCCGCTTCACTCCTGGAACCTTCACTAACCAGATCCAGGCAGCTTTCCAGAAGCCAAGACTTTTGGTGGTTACCGATCCCAGGGCTGACCACCAGCCTCTCACAGAGGCATCCTACGTTAACCTGCCTACCATTGCTCTGTGTAACACAGACTCTCCTCTGCGCTATGTGGACATTGCCATCCCCTGCAACAATAAGGGAGCTCACTCAGTGGGTCTTATGTGGTGGATGCTGGCCCAGGAAGTTCTGCGCATGCGTGGCACCATCTCCCGTGACCACCCTTGGGAGGTCATGCCTGATCTCTACTTCTACAGGGATCCTGAAGAGATTGAAAAGGAAGAGCAGGCCGCTGCTGAAAAGGCTGTGACCAAGGAGGAATTTCAGGGCGAATGGATGGCTCCAGCTCCTGAGTTTACTGCTACTCAGCCTGAGGTGGCAGACTGGTCTGAAGGCGTGCAGGTGCCCTTTGTACCTATCTAGCAGTTCCCTACTGAAGACTGGAGCGCCCAGCCTGCCACTGAAGACTGGTCTGCAGCTCCCACTGATCAAGCCACTGAGTGGGTGGGAACAACCACTGAGTGGTCTTAAGTTGTTCTTCCAGAGACTTGAACAGAAAGTGGAAATAAGGCTAATGGAAAATAAAGTTTGTAAAAAAAAAAAAGATGACCACTGAACTTCTTTCATCAGCTTTTTATTTCAACCAATAGGGAGAGGGAAGAGGGGTACTGACCAACACAACTGTCTGCTTTGGGGGTAAAAGCTGGAAGAAGTTGCACACACCCCTTCCATTTATATTCTATTGGTCAGAACTTAGTCACTTGGCCACACCTGGCTGTAATTGAACTTGGGGTATGTATTCATTTTATTTGCAGCTCATACACCCAGCAAATACTACATTTGTACAAAAGAAGAAAAAGCTTGTATGAGGGAATAATTTGTCATCTATGCTACATGGGATCTCTTGATGACAGTTGAAAGCCCTGAGAGCATGAAGAACTGATGACAACAGGTGAACTCATGAGCACTCACTTGATTACTCTCTAAATTCACAAGGTTGGTGGAACAGAGTGAAGGAGATTTCTTTCCTAGTGTTCATAGAAGTTGGCCACTGGAGTGGACCCCATGGGAGTGACTGATAGCAACTATGTGGTTCTTGTGACAATTCTCCTATGGGATCATCTTGTCCCTGTCTCTGCTCCAGGGGAGTATCCAGAGGGATAGAAATAGGAAATGAGCTTTGACACCTTGACTACCTATTACCAAACAGGGTAACAATATCCCGGGGAACTTTAGTCCACATGCCAAATTAAACTGATATCTGAGAATACAGCCATAATAAAAATACAGTTGATCTTTGAACAACATGGGTTTGACTTCACATGGTGTTTCTTCGAACAGATGACACAAATGCATTTATCCTCCTTACAATTTTCTAAATGACATTTTATTTTCTCTCATTATTTTATTGTGAGAATACAGTATATAATGCAAAATATTTGTCAATCAAATGCTTATGTTATCAGTAAGACTTTCAGTCACTAGCAGGCAATTAGTTAATTTGGGGGGAAATTAAAAGTTATATATGGATCTTTGACTATGCAAGGTCAGTGCACCTAACCTTGATATGCCTAAATAAACAACATGAATCTAAGTTTTATTGTAAAATAGATAGAATTTAATATAGATAGAATAAGAATATTAAAAAGATATTGAGAATATGAGGCACAAAATCAAAGTGGAAAATTAGTTAAGATAATTGAAGTAAAAATTCAGTAGATGAGGTCATAGCAGGAAGGGGAAAATTAATTAGTGAGCAGGTAATCAAATACTGTAACTCTTTTAAATACAGCAAACACTTAAAAAATGAATTATAGGGCCTCCCCTGGTGGCACAGTGGCTGAGCGCTGGGTTGCGAGGCTTCTCGCAGCCTCTACAGCGCCAGTTCGATCCCCGGCCACTGGCGAGGGGCCCACAAAAAAAAAAATGAAATATAGAAAATGGGGGGAAGGGATGGGAAGAGAGGTAGAGAATACAAATAAAAGTGAAAAATCTAGGCAAGATTCCCAGGGGACATAGAAACAGGAGAAGGATATGGTTTATGAAGTAATGGTGATTAATTTCCGAGAGATGTAACAAGAAATTGTAAAGGAATCATGAATTTGACAATCTAGAAATTACAATCATTATTTATTTAGCTTTGCTTAAGACTTTGTTGATACTCCAAGGCCACCATTTTCAACAGAATAAACCTTGAGAGACACAAATATTTTTCCTTCAACTGTGAAACTCACCATTCACAATCAGCCATGACTGAGGCAGCTAAGGAAGAAGGTAGAAATACAAGTTACCATAATATTTAACTTAAATTTATTTCCCCTATTATAACAAATGGTTCATAAATTATTTACTAAAAATAACATAGATCTTTCCTGTATTGTGAGAAGTTTGACTTAATAGTTGCAGATTTAAACTCATAACCTTGAGCAGTATGTATCTATATAATTTCCATTTCTATGGAAAAACATATACTTGTTCACATAAACTTGTAAACTCTTTGCCAACCATATTGACCTTACTTACTAATATATCTATATATTTTTTTTAAGATTTATTTATTAATTTATACAAGCACTGGGTACAGTCAGAAGCGCGGGAGGGTGAGAGAATTCACCAGAGACAGAGTGGGGGGAGCAGAACAGGCAGACTGATGAAGTACACTGCTGAGGGGAGCAGCGGGCATGGCAGGAGAGGTCTGCACCCATGTGGGACCCTCGCCAGCGGCCGGGGGTCGAACTGGTGATGCAGAGGCTGCAGGCAGCTTCATAGCCCAGCGCTCAACCTCTGCGCCACTGGGGAGGCCCCTAATATTTTGATCCTTAACTCTTTTCCAAGACCACTGATTGAGTTTGAAAAACTAGCATAAAAGATTGCACAGATTTTTAGAATTATGAACATTGTCAAAGATATTCCTCCTTGTGAAAGGTTATTTTATAAATAAAGTAAATGGCATGAGTTTATCTTTTCGATTGCTGAGTATATTCCATTCTGTATATGAACCATATCTTCTGGATCCAGTCATCTATTGTTGGGCATTTGGGTTGTTTCCGTAGCTTACCTATTGTAAATAGTGCTGCATGCCATTTGTTGCAACATGGATGGAGCTGGAAGGTATCATGGACAGTGAAATAAGCCAGAAAGAGAAAGAAAAATACCAGATGGTTTAACATTTATGAGGAATGTAGAGGATCCAAACAAAGTATTGGGGGGGGTAATTATAATAAAATAAATATCAAAATCAACAGGGAACTATAAACCAGAGACATTCTACAGTGGGGGAGAGGGGAGTAGGATCAAAACAGAGGTGGGAGGAGCACAAGTGACTATGGTGATGGTACATGGGTGAATTGGTGGTGGTTACTTCACGAGGCTATAACCGAGATGAGAAAACATACATTGTACAAAAATGAAGAATGATGTAAAATATATTAATAAATGAATAAATGAATTCATAAATAAATAAAGTAAATGAGTAAATAAGTACGTCTTAAGATATACACTTTAGAGATGATGCAAAATCTTGTTTTTTTCTCAATAATATTCAACTCACCATGGGATTTCAGGGGTGGGAGGGGTGTGCCAAACTGGACATGGGGGATTCAAAAATGAGACAATAGAGGCAGAAATTTCTCTGAATTCCTCATTGAGGACAAAGAGGACAACTGCAGTTTATCTTCAGGAGTTACTAGCCTTTCAAGAAGGAGACTTTTCCCCTGACAAGTCTGCCCAGAGCTCCCTTCATGTCCTTGTTCCTCAGGCTGTAAATAAAGGGGTTTAGCAGGGGAGTCACCACTGTGTACATCACAGCAGCTGCTGTATCCTCTTTTATTGAGTTGGAGGAAGAGGATGAGGGACACAGATAAGCCCTGATCACTGTTCCAAAGAACAGGGCAACAACAGCAAGATGGGACCCACAGGTAGAGAAGGCCTTGCGCCTCCCCTGGGCAGAGGGGACCTTGAGAATGGCTAAAAATATATGGGTATATGATATCAGGACAAGTATAAAGGGGACTAAAATGACTGCTCCCCCTAAGAAGAAGAGTACAAGCTCATTGACCTTAGGGTCAGAGCAAGACACCTTCATCAGGGGCTCCAAATCACAGAAAAAGTCAGGAATGATTTTCTGGGAGCAGAAGGAAAGTCGGAACATCAGGAAGGTGTGGGTCATGGCAACAAGATTTGTAAGGGTCCAGCAGACAGTGACCAGGATGGTGCAGCAGCGGGGACTCATGATCATCCTGTAGTGCAGGGGGTGGCAGATGGCCACGTAGCGGTCATAGGCCATTGTGGCCAAGAGAAAGATGTCCATGTCCCCAAAAGTCAAGAAGAAGTAGAGCTGGGTCAGGCATCCTGCATAGGATATGGACCTGCTCTGGGTCTGGATGTTTACCAGGGCCTTGGGCACAGTGGTGGACACGAAAAGGATGTCTGCACAGGACAGGCTGGCAAGGAAGAAGTACATGGGAGTGTGGAGATGTGTGTCGGTGGCTATGGCCAGGATGATGAGCAGGTTGCCAGTCACAGTGACCAGGTACATCCACAGGAACACTAGGAAGAGCATGCGTTGTTGTTCTGGCCTCTCTGAGAGTCCCCAGAGGAGGAACTCAAAGCTGCTGGTCTGGTTCCTTTCTTCCATAAGCCCAGAAGTCAGAACATGGGTCCTTGATTGCAATCCACTAAAATTCTCTAATTAAATTTCACTCTAAATGATTGATGAATATGCCATTCTCTGAACTCTAGAGAAGAAAGAATGACCACAGTGTAGATGAACTGATCACACCCTACATGCTCTGAATATTTATATTGAAACATACTAATGGCATTGTGCTAAGAGTATGGCAAACAACAAAGAGAATTTAACTAGAGTTCTTGTTTCATTTCCTTACACTATTTTTTGTCCCAAATTTCTGTGCCTATAGTTTTCTTTTCTTCAGGAAATTGTGAATCTTTCATTCATTCCATAGATAATTAAGAATGAACTGCAAACTTGGTACAGAGCTAGGTAAATAAGATAATAGTAAGCTTACCCTCAGACAAATTTAAATCCAATGGGACAGACATAACTGAATACACTAATATACTATTGCATTTTGTTTCAGTGTTCTCAACCCATGCAAATGCCTTCAAATCATTCTCACAGGCCAGTGTTTACCTGTTTTAATCTATTATTATCAAGAGCCAATATTCTAAAGATTGAGTTTCATGTTATCCAATCTGCCAGGATCCAATATAACAGAATCTCAAGAATTGATAGATTACACACACACACACACACACACACACACACACACGCACAGAGTCTTCTGATACAAACCAGACTGTGGAAGAAAACAAAGATTTCCTGATTCCTAAATGTCCTTCAGGATCTTGGCAGATGGAGGCGGGCAGCATATTGAGGCACACTCTTGAGCAAAGCCAGGCAGGGCCCTCCCTGGTGGTGCAGGGTTTAAAGACAGCACTACTAAGCTATTGCCTGCCACTGCAGTTAGATATCCAGCTGACCAGGATGCTAACACATGGCACAGCAGTCCTCTCCTGTCTCTCCCAGTGCTCCTTTATGCAGTATATTTCAACAGATCTGCCTGTTCTACTCCCCACTCTCTCTGGTGAATCCATTCACCCCCCCCCACCCTGATGCCTATACCAAGGTTCTTGTATGCATAAATAAATAAATCTTAAAAAAAAAAATCCAGGCAGTCAGAGCCCTGGACAAGGTAGAGATAGGGAGTAGGAGCTCTGAACAGGAGGTGGAAGAGGGATTGTGGGCTGAGACAAAGATGTAGGGAACTGAGGGCCAAATTTGGGGATTTTGAGGAGTGTCTGGAGCATTTTTCTGTGTTCAATAAAGAGCCACTAATGTTGCTTCCTAATGTGATGTTAGTGCTTGAGTAGCAACGTAAAACCCTGTTCCTTCCTCATATGTGGAAATAAGTTAGGGTTGGTCATTCAGATGGGAAAAAAGAAATCACCTTTGTTACTGAAAAAATAATAGGTTAGAAAATGTTCCTTAGCTGTGTTACTGAGTTGTTGTTGTTGTCTTTTTTTAATAGTTTTTTGAATTAAATCTATTTCCTCCTTCATAGGCTTTGTTGAACAGCATGGACCTCTCTCACAGGGAGAAAAGCCTAGCCTTACAAAACATAAAACCTGGACAATTAAAGCAAAAGTGTGCTTCTTGGGGCCTCCCCGGTAGCGCAGGCAGTTGAGTGCCACACTGTGAAGCTGTCCGCAGCCTCTGCAGTGTGGATTCTATCCCAGCTGGCAGGAGAGGGTCCCACATGGCGTGGCAGACCTCTCCTGTCTCGCCCACTGCTCCCCTCAGCAGTGTATTTTATCAGTCTGCCTGTTCTGTTCCCCACTCTGTCTCTGGTGAATCCTCTCACCCTCCCGCGCATCTGGCCTGTACCCCAGTTCTTATATAAAAATAAATAAATCTTTAAAAAAAAAGTGCTTCCTACTGTGATGAGAAGGATAACTGAAGCTCAAAATAAAGCGGTCAGATAAGTCACATTGTGTAGGACTGAAGAAACCAGTGCAGAGGACAGGATGGGTTGTTTGGAAAGAAATATCAGCTGTTTGGAGCAGATGTTCTCCATAATGAATGAGGCAACCACAAATGGTGAGTTTTCTAACTGTCTCTGAAAGGTAAAATTCTACACATGTCATCTACTACATAAAATTTCACTGGTCTTTTCATAGAAAAAAAAATGTCCTTGTCCCAAACATCCACAATATTATGCCTACAGAATTTTGGTGATTTTCCTCTGTCAGCACTTGAATTAAACATTTTTACATCCCTGTATTACCTACAAATTATCTTATATGTTTTGTTACACTCATTGTGCCTGCCACAGTAGCTTGCATACAGAAAGATTTAAGGAACTATCAGAAAGAAAGCAAGCCTGAAAATTCAGGCTTTTCAACAGAAGAGACTCACTAGAAAAGCATCTATTAGAGAAAAATTCCGGTACAATATGCTTTAAGAATGTAACAAAACAATTAAAAATTTTTGAACAACTATTACAATGGAGACACAAGAAACTCAGAGAAGAGATGTCTAGATAACTGGAAGATGTGAAATGGAAACTTAAAAGACTTTGTAAGTAAATGAAGCAAAAGTCATTTTTTCAAAGTAAACTCTTGCAAGTATTTGTATGAGCAAAATAGAAGTATTATAAGGAAAATAAAGATAGACATAAAAATCAAAAGGAAGGGGAGCAGCACCCACCGCTGGGGCAGACCAGGCGTGCAGGGGAGCGCGTCGCCGGCACCGGCATTTTGCAGCAGGGACCCTTCTTGCTGGAGACTGTGTGAACCCAGCAGAAGGCTCACCGAGGAGACAGAGGTTAAGCTGGGAGGCTTGCCCACACCGGGCACCTTCTAGCCTGCAGTTCCAGCCCAGAGGGGAGCAGCACCCACCGCTGGGGCAGACCGGGCGTGCAGGGGAGTGTGTCCCTGGCTCTGGCATTTTGCAGCAGGGACCCTTCTTGCTGGAGACTGTGTGAACCCAGCAGAAGGCTCACCGAGGAGACAGAGCAGGGACCTGTCTTTGCTGGAGACTTGTGAACCCAGCAGAAGTTCCCCAGAGGAGCCAGTGGTGAGCTGGGAAGGTCGCCCAAGATGCCGGCCAGTACCAGCAACACAGTGTCACAAGGAATACGGCAAATTAGAAAACAGGCAGTAGGGAGTAGAAAAACAACATGCAACCCAGCAACTCCTCAGCAAAATAGCACACCACAAAAAGAAAACCATCTACCAGATTGCAACGACAGTAACTTGGAAGAACTTCTGAGCCTTCCAGATAGAGAATTTAAAATTGCTGTGATTAAAAAACTGACAGAAGTCATAAAGGAAAACAATGATAAGGGGAAAATAATTAATGACCAGAAGAATGAAATTGAGTCCCTAAAGAGGGAAGTAAAAGAAATGCAGGAGATCAAAGAATTAATGGAGACGCTAAAGAACTCTGGGAAAAGCAGTGAAAGCAGAATAGATGAAATGGAAGAACGAATAAGTACTCTTGAAGACACAGAAATAAAAAGAACTAAAACAGAAAAGGAAGGAGAAGTACGAAGGAAAAAGACCGAAGAAAGACTTCGGGAACTATCTGACTCCATGAGGAAAGGAAATATAAGAGTTATAGGAATCCCAGAAGGAGAGGAGAGAGATGTAGGAACAGAGAAAATATTCATGGATATAATTGAAGAGAACTTCCCAAACGCTAAGAAGGATCTGAAAATTGATATACAAGAAGCAAGAAGAACACCAAACTTCCATGACGAAAGGAAAAATACAGCAAGACACATAATAGTAAAGCTCCCAAGAATCCAAGACAAAGAAAAAATAATGAAACTAACAAGAGGGAAGAAACAGATAACATTCAAAGGGAAACCAATCAGACTGACATCAGACTTCTCTGAAGAAACACTACGGGCAAGGAGAGAGTGGAGGGACATAGTCAACAGACTCCAAGAAAACAGATGCCAACCAAGAATACTCTATCCCGCAAAGCTCTCCTTCCTCTTTGAAGAAAGAATATGGACCTTCCCAGACAAACAGAAACTCCGGAATTTCATTGCGACTAAACCCCCACTCAAAAAAATACTACAAGGAGTCCTAAAGCCAGAACCTCAGAGGGACGAATAACAACAAAAGAAGGCCAAAGAAAGTTATTAAAAGAATAAATAAATAAAATCAAAGGAAAGACAAACACAATGGCAAATACAGATGCTAACATATCAATACTAACTCTAAATGTAAATGGACTAAACTCTCCAATAAAAAGACAGAGTTGCAGGCTGGATTAAGAAACAAAACCCAACCTTTTGCTGTCTCCAGGAAACACATTTAGCTGCAAAAGATAAAAATAGACTCAAAGTTAAAGGATGGAAAACAATTCTACAAGCAAATGGACCAAAAAAGAAGGCAGGAACAGCTATACTCATATCAGATAAAACAGATTTCAAACTTAAAAAGATAAAAAGAGACCCCAGTGGTCATTACATTATGATCAAGGGGATAATACTTCAAGAAGAAATAACACTCATTAACATATATTCACCAAACGAAGGAGCACCAAAATATATCAGACAACTATTGGCATCTCTGAAAACAGACATCAGAGAAAACACATACATAGTGGGAGACTTCAACACACCACTATCAACAATGGATAGATCAACAAGACAAAAAATAAGTAAAGACACTAAAGCTCTAAATAAGGATCTAGAGTGCTTAGGTTTAACAGACATATATAGAACACTAAACCCAAAAAAATCTGAGTATACATTTTTCTCAAGCGCACACGGATCATTCTCTAGGATCGATCATATACTGGGGCACAAGACAAACATCAACAGATACACCAAGATTGAAATCATACCAACCATCTTTTCTGACCATGAAGGCATCAAACTAGAAATAAACCATAAAGAGAAGGCAAGGTATTCTCCTACCTCGTGGAGATTGAAACCCACACTACTGGAAGTCCACTGGACTAACGAGGAGATAAAAGAAGAAATTAAAAAATTCTTTGAATTGAATGACAAGGAGGACACCAATTTCCTAAATGTATGGGATGCAGCAAAAGCAGTAATAAGAGGAAAATATATAGCAATAGATGCTCACATCAAGAAACAAGAA